GGGGGGGGGGGGGGGTTGGCATGTTGTGCGATAAAACAAACCATTGGATTTAGTCACCTTAGTCTTTTCTATGGTTTATTCACTCAATACCCCAAATAGCAAGTTATCCCAGGCCTCCAAATAGCAGCAGAATTGATGTAGCCCATTAAAGGAGAACTATGGGGTCAGGGCTTTTCCCCATAGTTCTCCTTAGGGTGACGGGAGGACACAAACTAGCGTCCTCCCGTCACCCTAAGCTCAGTATATAGGGAGCTACAGCTCGCGGTATACTGAGACCGCCGCAGCCGGAGCGGATCCCGACAATTATGTCTGGATCCGCCCAGCTGCGTGAGTGACAGCTGGGTCTGCTGTCACTCATCAGTAGATCGGGAGGTGAGCGAACACATACCGGTGCTCGCTCACTTCTCGATCCTGTCGCGGCTCCCTGGCCGTGACAGGGGAGTGGCTGGATTCCCCGCTCCGATCCTCCAGCGCTGACTGGCGGAACGGACGGGGGAGGGGGGCGGGGACAGTTCTAGATAGGCAGAGCCAGCTGTCAGTCACGCAGCTGGGCGGATCCAGACATAATTGCCGGGATCCGCTCCGGCTGCGGCGTCTCAGTATCCCGCGAGCTGCAGCTCCCTATATACTGAGCTTAGGGTGACGGGAGGACGCTAGTTTGTGTCCTCCCGTGACCCTGAGGAGAACTATGGGGGAAAGCCCCGACCTCGTAGTTCTCCTTTAACAATATATCAAAAACAAAAAGTGTGTCTAAATACTGAAAACAAATACTCCCTTATGAGAAAGGTCATATACAGGTGAAACTCGAATAATTAGAATATGGTGCAAAGTTCATTTATTTCACTAATGCAACTTATGCGGTGAAACTAATATATGAGACTCATTACATGCAAAGCAAGATAGTTCAAGCCGTGATTGGTCATCATTGTGATGATTATGGCGCACAGCTCATGAAAACCCCAAATCCACAACCTCAGAAAAGTAGAATATTACATGCAATCAATAAAACACGGATTGTACATAGAACAATATCGGACCTCTGAGAAGTACCAGCATGCGTATGTACTCAGTACTTGGTTTGGGCCCCTTTTGCAGCAATTACTGCCATTACTTCTGCACGATATTCTAATTATTCGAGTTTCACCTGTACTTTGTAAACTTAATAAAAATCAAACTCTAATAAATCATTTGGATCCAAGGTGATGAAGGTCACAGTGTAAATCTCTTCTGAGACTGCATAAGTGTCCAATAAATCAAAGAGTGCACCAGTGTCCATACACATCGATATCAAACAGGGCTCAAATGCAGATTGATGTCCATATAACTCTGCATGATAAACTGCGATTGGGAACTAATGTCACCCTAGGCTCAGTATATAGGGAGCTACAGCTCGCGGTATACTGGGACGCCGCAGCCGGAGCGGATCCCGACATCGATGTCTGGACCCGCCCAGCTGCGTGACTGACAGCTGCCTCTGCCTATCTAGAGCTGTACCCGCCCCCTCCCCCGTCCGTTCCGCCAGTCAGCGCTGGAGGATCGGAGGGGGGAATCCAGCCCCTCCCCCTGTCACGGCAGAGAGCAGTGACAGGATGGAGAGGTGAGCGAACGCCGTTATGTGTTCTCTCAACTCCCGATCTACTGAGCCGACCTGTGACAGTCTCATTGTCACAGGTCGGCTAGAACTATGAGGAGGAGTGAAAAGCACCCCCCTCCTCCCCCTCATAGTTCTCCTTTAAGAGAGGTTCAGCGCGATCCTATGCAATGTCCACCAGGAGCAGCTTCTCTCAAGCTCTTCAGGATTGCATGGCGCTCCATAAAGCCAGTCATCTTCCCTAGTAGACTTTCCCGGAGATGCTCCATCTTCCTGCATCTAATAAAGATGTTCCATATACGTTGTCACCTCTTGCTCTAGCTCTTTCTGGATGTGTCCTCCAGCAAAGCAGCTGAGGTTCCTTAGGCCTTAGCACAAGCCCCCAACTGGGACAAAACCCAAGAAGAAAAGACCTCTTCACAGTAGTATCCTTACCAGGCAAGGGCCCGGGAGGGAAATGCCCTTCTAGAAGGTTGCTCCAAATATTTATCCTCACATGACTGGAGTAAAACCCTCAGTGATTGGCCAAGGCAGATAAATATTCATAACACATACATTGTTACTAACTTGCTACTAACAACATGAAACTTAGCTAAGGACACTCCGGTCTAAAGAGGAATTATGACCAGAAGGTGTGAACCCTAAGGCTGGGTTCACACCTGGGCGTTGCTATAGGCGCGTTTTATGCGCGTTTTTTCAGCTCGTTTGTAGCACGTTTTTTAGTTCAGTGAAAAGCGCGTTCGACGCTTGTTTTTATACCTCCCTGGCGGTATGATTTTTTTTTCCTTTTATTGTCTATCATGTATTCCCGAGTGTGGCTCGGGGGGTTACCGCTTTGTTAACCCCGAGCCACACTCGGGAATCCCAATGGATACTCGCGGAAATACGCCCCAAAAGAAGCTCATGTACTTGTTTGGGCGTAGCCCAGGTGGGAACCATGCCCATAGGAAATTATGGGATTTCACTTGCTTCGATCAGCGCTGAAAAACGCCCAGGTGTGAACCAGCACTTAGGGTTGAATCGCCCAGTGGGCCCAGCGCACATAGCACTTGGTTCCATTCAGATCCATGCAGTGGTGGTCCAGTTAGCTGATGGCGTACCCCCACCAATGTTTCACCATGGTGGGTACAAGGAGATGATTCTATAATGGAGGTCTGACTGACAGACACAGGAGAGGGGTGGTGACAGAGGAGACCCTGCACAATCCCTGCCCCTGGCTCCTCTGAAATCTGCCAGAATGGGGCATTGAGCAGAGGGAAGCGATGGAGACGTGGTGGAAACAGGAAACACAGGAGAGGAAGAGTCATTCATTGCTGTTGGGGAGAGGTAATGAGAGGCTAAAGTAGTAGTTGATGGCATCTGTTGTTCTGTCATTCAGGACCATCTGTTGATGGTCCTGAATGACCAGCTACTACTCTAGTCCCTAAACAACTGAGCCCAGACCAGCCAGAGAGACTGAAGTAGTAGATGGCGGAGTGGTGGGCTTGTGTTTCTGTGAATGGCAATGCTCATCTACACTGTGTCATCATTCACGGTAACACAAGCCACCGGCTAGTACCCGAGTCCCTCTCCTATGGTGTTCCAGGTAGATGAATGATGGCAGATGCGTAGAGGAGAAGAGGCGCCGGGCTGTACTCTCAGAGACACGGATGTTAGAATGAAGAGGAGGAGGAGGCGGCTCTAGTGCCGTTCTATGGCTCCCGCCCCCCCTCACAGGAATGCCCATAAATTGGGCTTCAGCCCAGGGTGGATCTGCAGCATAAGACAAGCAGAACATTTCTAAATCATTGCATGGATCTGAACAGGACCAGGTGCTATGAACAGGACCAGGTGCTATGAACAGGACCCAGTGCTATGAACAGGACCAGGTGCTATGAACAGGACCAGGCGCTATGAACAGGACCCAGTGCTATGAACAGGACCAGGCGCTATGAACAGGAACAGGTGCTATGAACAGGACCAGGTGCTATGAACAGGACCAGGTGCTATGAACAGGACCAGGTGCTATGAACAGGACCCGGTGCTATGAACAGGACCAGGCGCTATGAACAGGACCAGGTGCTATGAACAGGACCAGGTGCTATGAACAGGACCAGGTGCTATGAACAGGACCAGGTGCTATGAACAGGACCAGGTGCTATGAACAGGACCAGGTGCTATGAACAGGACCAGGTGCTATGAACAGGACCAGGTGCTATGAACAGGACCAGGTGCTATGAACAGGACCAGGTGCTATGAACAGGACCAGGCGCTATGAACAGGACCAGGTGCTATGAACAGGACCAGGTGCTATGAACAGGACCAGGTGCTATGAACAGGACCAGGTGCTATGAACAGGACCAGGTGCTATGAACAGGACCCGGTGCTATGAACAGGACCAGGCGCTATGAACAGGACCAGGTGCTATGAACAGGACCAGGTGCTATGAACAGGACCAGGTGCTATGAACAGGACCAGGTGCTATGAACAGGACCCAGTGCTATGAACAGGACCAGGCGCTATGAACAGGACCCGGTGCTATGAACAGGACCAGGTGCTATGAACAGGACCAGGTGCTATGAACAGGACCAGGTGCTATGAACAGGACCAGGTGCTATGAACAGGACCCAGTGCTATGAACAGGACCAGGTGCTATGAACAGGACCAGGTGCTATGAACAGGACCAGGCGCTATGAACAGGACCAGGTGCTATGAACAGGACCAGGTGCTATGAACAGGACCAGGTGCTATGAACAGGACCCGGTGCTATGAACAGGACCCGGTGCTATGAACAGGACCCGGTGCTATGAACAGGACCCGGTGCTATGAACAGGACCCGGTGCTATGAACAGGACCCGGTGCTATGAACAGGACCCAGTGCTATGAACAGGACCAGGCGCTATGAACAGGACCCGGTGCTATGAACAGGACCAGGCGCTATGAACAGGACCAGGCGCTATGAACAGGACCAGGTGCTATGAACAGGACCCAGTGCTATGAACAGGACCAGGTGCTATAGACAGGACCAGGTGCTATGAACAGGACCCAGTGCTATGAACAGGAACAGGCGCTATGAACAGGACCAGGCGCTATGAACAGGACCAGGTGCTATGAACAGGACCAGGTGCTATGAACAGGACCCAGTGCTATGAACAGGAACAGGTGCTATGAACAGGACCAGGCGCTATGAACAGGACCAGGTGCTATGAACAGGACCAGGTGCTATGAACAGGACCAGGTGCTATGAACAGGACCCAGTGCTATGAACAGGACCCAGTGCTATGAACAGGACCCGGTGCTATGAACAGGACCCGGTGCTATGAACAGGACCCGGTGCTATGAACAGGACCAGTTGCTATAGACAGGACCAGGTGCTATGAACAGGACCCAGTGCTATGAACAGGACCAGGTGCTATGAACAGGACCAGGTGCTATGAATAGGACCAGGTGCTATGAACAGGACCCAGTGCTATGAACAGGACCCAGTGCTATGAACAGGACCCGGTGCTATGAACAGGACCCGGTGCTATGAACAGGACCCAGTGCTATAGACAGGACCAGGTGCTATGAACAGGACGCAGTGCTATGAACAGGACGCAGTGCTATGAACAGGACCCAGTGATATGAACAGAACCAAGCGCTATGAACAGGACCCAGTGCTATGAACAGAACCCAGTGCTATGAACAGGACCCAGTGCTATGAACAGAACCCAGTGCTATGAACAGGACCCAGTGCTATGAACAGGACCAAGTGCTATGAAAAGGACCAGGTGCTAAGTGCACTGGGTCCCCTGGGGTATTGATGAAGGATTGTATCTGGTGATAACTCTTCTGTGAGTCCTTATAAGTGAAAAGAATAAAAACAAATACAAATGTAAAATAAAAGAGAGAAGAACATTGAGTGAAATACTGATTGAGGGGTTCTCATACTGCATGGCGGGGTGCTCTTTGTTCTCCACAGATACCAGGCTGCGGCCTTCTCACGAGATATGAAATGGTTCTTGGATGGTCCGAGTCTGGGACTCACTCTTCCCCCGGATCTACAGTCCGCAATCAGTGCCATCCGCTATCTGGCCCAGCAGCTGCAGGAGCAGGAGGACTACGACGCCGTAAGTGCCAGGAAATGTATACAACACGAGAGGGGACCCCGAGGCCTCATGTAGATGGGTCAAAAACAAGCCAAGCACAAGATGCCCTCTCAGCAGCTTCTGAGCTGACTTGTCACGGTGTATTTTTAAGCTTCTTTTGAGTTGCTTCGGCAATTACATTGACTTGTATGTCAGAAGCAGCTCAAATGCAAAGTCTATGTACATTAAAGGAGAACTATGGGGTCAGTGTTTTCCCCCATAGTTCTCCTCAGGGTAACGGGAGGACACAAACTAGCGTCCTCCCGTCACCCAAAGCTCAGTATATAGGGAGCTACAGCTCGCGGTATACTGAGACGCCGCAGCCGGAGCGGATCACGACTTAGATGACGGGATCCGCCCAGCTGCGTGAGTGACAGCTGGCACCGCCTATCTAGAGCTGTACCCGCCCCCTCCCCCGTCCGTTCCTGCCAGTCAGCGCTGGAGGATCGGAGCGGGGGAGGGGGGAATCCAGCCCCTCCCCTGTCATGGCAGAGAGCCGTGACAGGATCGAGAGGTGAGTGAACGCCGGTATGTGTTCGCTCACCTCCCGATCTACTGAGCCGATCTGTGACAGTCTCATTGTCACAGGTCGGCTAGAACTATGAGGTGAGTGGAAAGCCCCCCCTCCCCCACCTCATAGTTCTCCTTTAACCGTGACTGAGGTGAGGTGATAGAGGGAACTTGACCTCGCTTGAACTCTGCCTGCCCCGACCTCAGCGGTGTTTCCTGGCTACATGTAATCAATAGTGATTGGCTCGGGCTTGTTCGCAGCTCCACGTGCCGAGCCCGCCAGGAAGCCGATCTCTGCAGCTGCGGACCGGGATAATGTCTCAGTACCCGTGATTGGCGCTG